TAAATGATGTCAGCTGACATTAAAAGTAATAAACATCTTACCTTCAATCAAATCTATATTTTTCAAATCTACTTCATGTCATGTTTCAACGCCGCCGTCATGTCATGTTGCCAAAACAAGTCAAGTTTTTTTTCTTTTTAAAGCATGTATACAATTTTTTTTATCGGTTTGGCTGATTCCACTTACATAAATTTAGCCACTTCCATAGTAAACGTTTTGTCTGTATTCCAATATGTATTCTTTTAATATTTTGTTGTGTATTGAAATCATTTGGTTGTTAAAGTTTTAGGTTCTCTGAAATTATCTCAGTTGTTTTGAAAAATAAGCAAAATCAAACCATTGTAGAAACAAAAAACCACGAGCGAGTTCTCTCCTGCACTGAGGGTTCCGCACAAATATCAAACTTTTTTTCCGGGAATGCATGGGTAAAAAATTGTCTTAAAACTTTTTTATTTAAATTTCGGTTCAGTTGCTTAAAATATGGGGGCATATTGATTTTTTGCTTATTTTGGAAAACAGTGTCGCCATGTTTAAATTTATTTATTTATGTGGCATGACCGCCATGTGGCCACAAACTTACATATGTACCAAATTTCAACTCTTATCGGTCTAATCGCATGTGAGATGACAGACAGACGGACAGGCAGACTATCGCCTGATACGTTCCCGTTACAACTTAATTACTTAATCGTATAAAGCACTGTCGTTCCGATCATTATCAATTACAGACCTCTCCACCGACCGCTTCGATGAGACTCCGCCTAAGAGACGTAAGGGTAGAGAGACGGCGGGTCCGCTTAGCGTACGCAACACATTTCATGCGCATTTGACAGTTCGTAAATATATATGGCACCACAGTGGTTATCAGGTGAACGAATGGTGTTTTGTTTATTGGAAAATTAATTGATGACATATAAAATGTTAGATGCTTATTACAATTCCTCTCGCGAAAACTTCCATTTAGTCTTTTATTCTACGAACCTGTTTTGTTGTCTTTCAATGCATTCCTTTCTACGATCCTGATAGTCATTCTAATAGCCGTTCAAAACAATTTCTTGTTGTATACATATATTGTAGTTATTTTTGTTAATAATCTCACACGTTATTGAGCAGTTTGCTTGTATTGACTAATTTATGTTTGGAAATCTAGTGGCTCATTTTAAAAGACGGTTTCACATATACGTACGCTATTGTCGACACTTGCGGCGGTGATTTAATGAATTATATGAACAAGAATGCGCCCGCCGCCTGTACCTCGCTTGATCTTTTTTATCGTCGTACCCCCGCAATCCTGTACCCCGCGGGCGGGAGCTCATTAAAGCGGTCGGTCTTGTTCTATATATTTTCGATATTTTATGTACCTCAACTTTATTATTATATTTTGTCTATAGACATGTTGCAACATGCTGATGAACTTTGTAATAAACGTTATTTTGATCATGCATCGAAAGAAGTTGGTGACAAAAGTTGTCAAATATCTTTTAAATTCATTAGACTTTGAAATATTCTTCTAATTCAGATAGTTTAGAATTTTAAGTTATGCCATAACAGCCGATCCAGTAATATTTTTGTTTTATGTACAATTAAAACTCCATAAAAAGCCGATATCTAAAAGTACGTGTCAATGTACCGACACTACCTATGTATAATGTCGTAACTATATGGAGTTGTGGTTTTATTTACTAACTTAATAGTACAGTAGCTGAAAAAAGATTTTCAAAATGTTTATTGTCATTTATTAAGTCAAATATATATACATTTTACGTCATATATAGCAATCAACAATTTGAAAACTTATTGTGTGTTTACGATGTACCGGTATTATACGTAGATGTTGGTATATATTTTACATCATTATTATTCAAATTATTTTTTGTACAATTGATAACTTTTTCATTAGCACCTCTTGATGCTTGACCGAAATATGGAATTCAAGTTACTGGTTCTAACTTACGCTCCAAAAATCCCACTTTGTTGAAAGTAGAGAATAATAAAGTATGGCTCTGTGTTTTGAAACTTTTTAATAAATAAGCTGAAAATTCTCATTTTTGGATATAAATTTTGCTCATTATATGGATATTTACGTTATCATCATATAAATACAAACGCCACAGACACTAATTTTGACGAATACAAGCTATATGCGTTTTTGTTATTCGGGTTATTATTCTTTATTTGTGGATCCAAGTTTATGTGATAGTTTTGAGGCTTCAGCTTTTATAAATTTAAAGTGATTTGACATAAATGTGATTATTCAGTTTAGGTAGTGAAAAATAATGTTTCATTGTTAAGTAACCAACATGATATCAGAATAAAAAAAAAAAGTTATTATTAATGTAAAAAAAACAAATGAAATTACCATTAATTATTATCGTTCAACATGCATGGAATAGTACTGTTTTGTTCATTGATTAAGAATGATAAGGTCAAATGTGAAATAAGTTTTTAGGCTTTGCCACACTGATTGGTACGATAGGATCAGCGCGAAATTTTATATCAAAGGAGTGATAATCTTTCGACGAATCAGGAATATGACCGATCATACTGTTTAACTAGAGTAGAGAGTATCATACTGTAGTAAAAAAGCGTATCGCGAATAGGAATAGTGATTTCCCGTACGCTTTTTATGTGCCGAATCCCTAGATGCACAGAAATTTTGTGAAATCGGAGTAAGACTCGTTATCCTCTGTGGATTCAAAAAAATGCACTAATCTCTTCTAACCTTGGGCTAACATCTTTACTAGAATTGAATGGTGTAGACGATTCATGGGAAGAGAGTGTAAGTGATGATTATACATCGACTCGATCCACAGGGATTAATTGAATCGTGTTTTACATTTCATTGAAAGAAAATTTCACCTTTTTTTCACCTCAGATTTCAATATTTTGCCGTATGTCGAGTCTGAATAGAGTTACTGTTATGTGTGATAATTTTTAATATGTTACTTCATTGGATTTTTTTTATGGCCGATGATGATGGTTTTCCAGGATTGCCGCCATCAATGGCGATTTATAGCCGGGATATTGGGTTGTACTAGTTTTTGTTTTATATATTTACGGGGAGCTATTAATTCAGCCGCGTTGTGAATTACATAGTTTTTACGAACGTTCCGAAGGATCAGTATTACATGTTCTATACTTTCAACAAACACAATTTTATGCTTATGAATGTTGCTTAAATAACTTTACATAAAGTAATATGTATGTGATAAACGTATCTGAATAAGATCAATTTTATTTTACTATTGTTTAAATTAGTTAAACTGATGTATTTTGTATATATACATAATTAGTTTTGTACCGTAATTATACTTAACCGGGTGATCAGTTAGATTTTTTTTTCACACTGTCGTTAGAGACAACTAAATGACAAAGTAATGTGGTCCAAACTTTTCTACTTTTTTTATTGTTAGTTATGCATTTACACAAACGCTCTTCTTCTTTTACATAAATCGATTACACATATATTTTTTTAAACATAAACATCTTTATTTCACATAGTTTTTGTAAAATTCATCGAATTCAACGGCTTATGAATGTATAACATTAAATTAAAAACGCACGAATGTAAATGAACATTAAATTAAAGTGCATTTTATTATTGATAAAACAGGTTCAATTATCAAGAACCTAATATGAATGTCGTTTCGTCATATAACACGAACAATCCGTTGTAACACTCTGACAAACATATCACTGATTTTTATGTATCTGTAGAAATTTTGATCTCTGACTAAAATTATTTGTACAACATTACGAACTAAAATGCACACACAATTTTGATGATGGTGGTCACCTAACGTGTTGGTCGTTTATTCCATAAACAAAGAGCATGCACAGTTCTGCGAGGCAAATTATTACATACGTGGAATGAACTTGACAGAATATAATGTAAATATATAACGTTTTATGTAATAATAATTATTTTGAATCTGCCAACATCCACGTGTCTAATAGCATTGAGCTGTCAATTAGATATATACGATCCTTATATTCCTTGAAAAAAAAATCCCCTTAAACATGGAAGTTCTAGGTGAAAGTAGACTGTAATGATGACTATTTTTTATCTGTCTAGGTGGATGACCATCATAAACTAATTTATAAACAGATTAAAATTAAAATAGATTACCTATTGGCAAGTTGTGTAAAATAAATAAGCTTACTATAATTCTATTATGATGTCACTAGTTACGTAAGCAATATAAAATATAAGATACGGAAACAACAACTTTCTTTTATTTTTTCTAGACTTAATGTCTAGTGAAAAATATCCTTGTCTATGTTTACTAGCTCTTCGCCAGCGGCTTCACCCGCATGGTTTTGAGAGAAGTGTTAACGGGATAAATAGTAGCATATATGTTAGTCCGTAATTAGTAATAGTAGCATGTAATTATCCGTATACAAAATTTCATCGAAATCCGTTCAGTAGTTTTTTGCTTGAGGAAGTAACAAAAATCCAAACTTACACACTTTCGCCTTTTTAATTTTAGATTTTTTCGCCCGATCAATGATAATTACCCTCATGTACCAGAACTTTAAAAAAAGGTTGAAAATTCAGATTTACTATTTCCCTTATTAACCAATAACTAATTCCTAAAGAACATTTTTACTCCAGATATATTTTTTATTATTATTATAAGATGAGTAGCTAAAGCCCCGCGACAACGAAAGCACCAGAACACCCAGACCCTGAAACAAGATAGGAATGTCCATTTTCTACATTGACCTGACCGGGAATCGAACCGGGATCTCGGACGTTAACACCTTGAAACCGGCGTGCGAACCACTGAGTTTTTCATGCGATTCTGTTAAGAAAGAATTTCTATGATTTTTCTTTGTTTAAATAATAGTAAAATATACAAATAAAAAATAACGAACACCTTAATATCTTAAATTATTTGTAGGTATATCTTGTATTTAACAGAAGTACTAAGTAAGTGAATTAGAATAAGTAAAACATCACTCATTATTATTAACAAGATCAAATTATCATTAAATAATTAATAGTTGTTATCGACTACTTCAGTCTTCAGTTTGGAGGCGAGAGCTCTTCGTAATTGCATGGCGTCTGGGGTCGGCGGTGGTGGCGAACCAGCTAGCGCAGCTTGCGCGACTCGAGCTGATCGTGGCCTCGGAACTTGTGTCAATGACCCTTCACCACCTAAAATATCGACTTGCTAATATTATTGCCAAGGTTTTAATTTTATTATACCTACTTAATGGCTTAGTATGTAGTATTAGTATAGAGTGGGGTTGCAATTTTTGGCTTTCTAGATCGACTTGTCAGAGCTAAATGTTTTATATGTCCCGGCTGTACGGATTTTGTAAACCTTTTTATAGTGCCACAGCGCTTTCAGAATGAAGGCAAGCTGCGCAATGACACAGTGACGTTGAAATGTGTAATATAAAATCTAAATAAACCAATTTTGTATTATAAAAGTCATGTCCAAAATAAAATTTGCAGTGCACATAAGCTTTATAATTGTATGTTAAATTGCTAAAAGAAATCTCATTCGAATTGCAAACTTACAACTCGAGTCAGATTACATTTTTGACACAAATGACTCGAGTGAGGCAGTTAAATTGCTCTAGTGACTCGAGTCATTAAAATCCTTTCGCCGACTCGCATTACTGGTGTGCATTTCATTACGCCACCTAACATCTTAACAGCTAAGCACAAACGTCCATTAAAATTGTCATTAATTTAAAGTGACATTACCGATACAAATTTGACATTCATTAGAGCTTAAAGGCCTCATTAAGCCTTAATGGACGTTTGTGCAACTCACCGTATGTAGTTTAAATCGCAAGCGATAGTTTGTTTTTATCTCTACCTACCTCCTGATTCATTTGTTTCAGCAACACCTAGTCTTTTTTCGCGCACTTGTTTCTTCAAAGCAAGCAGCTTGTCGCGTTGTTGCTTTAAGTATTCTTGACGTGCTCGTACTTCTTCTTCACTCACCTAGAAGTAATAGTATCACTTATATAGTGATGATTATTATCAGCACTAGATAGTATCTATTAGATACTATACCAATGTTATTACTATGAGGAAGTATTAAAAAAAAACGAAAGCACTAAAAAAGCACCTCCACTAGATGGCGACTCTAGCAAAAGTTGATTTTTGCAGGAAACGAATGGACCGAAGACAGTCCTTTCCGTTCCTTTTAACTAACACATATTCAAAAACTGAAATTTGAAAGTTCGAAACTTAGATATCAATACAAATACGAAAAAGTACAAATAGAATATGAGTTGTTTATTGAGTTTTGAAAACTATTTTACTTATAATTTGAAATAAAACCGGAAAGATTGTCACGGATAAATCAAGAACGTACTGTAGCGACATCTAGTTTGATTGCGGGAAATATATATTTTTTAAATACTTCCTCATTAGTGTTACATAAATTCTTTGGTTTTGTTAGAATCAACGATAATATTTCTTAATATTTATATATTTAACGTTCATATAGATTAATTTTGAGAAAGGCAAGGGAACGCTGGTTAACTTTACATACTTCCACTTTTCTAGGCGGTGGTTTTGATGGTTCAGCGGCAATCGGAGAATCTTTCGTGCGAGCGACTACTTCCACTTCAGGTTTCTCTTCTTTTTTCTCGAAACTGTGCAATTTCGATAGAAGAGTTTTCTTTTCAGCGACAAACTCTTCATGAGCGACAGGGACACATGCAGTATCGGCTTCTTCGTCTTTTTCGATTTCTTCGAGTTGCAACCTGAAGTTTTTTTCTAACATTTAAAATAGATTAATGAGTTAAAAGGCAACATCAATTTAACGTCGTAATGGTGTGAAGATGGTAATATATTGTAAATTTTTAATGTTTAGAAAATATAGACAAATGTTCGGTTTACTATAATGTAGAACCGCTCTTAAGTAAAAAACTTAAGATAATGTAGTTGCATTATTTTGTGAGTTTTATATAACCTGCGATTTCAGCCCGCGTAAAGTGATGAACTCGAGATATTCGAGAAAAGTGCGAGATCCAGACTGGCGGTGATATATTGAATAGGCTATAGTTTCTCGAGATGTTCGAGTTCGTCATGCTACGCGTGCTGGGTAAGTTATTGTGTAAGGTAAGTAGGTACTTCTTTATTTCGGTCATAACATCATCGCTGTCAGGCCATTCTTCAGTTTCATCGTTTTCTGGCATTTCGTAATTTGTTTCCGTTGAAAACAGACTGGGCATTGCTCCGTAACGTCTCTCAATTAATTCCAATGCCTGTAACAACGAACAACTTGTTTGCGGCGGAAACTAGCAATTACGTACTTATGGGTATGTATTTTGTTAAAGGTTACTTTGTACTAGCGAAGATGCTGATGCTGCTAATGATAGAAAGATTTCTTTACCCTACGCGCCCATCATTCTTTTATATATATATTTAACGTGATTATAAATACCGTGGATTTCCATAGTATATGCCTCAAAGTATTTGTTTTTTCTTATGTCACACGCATTATACCTGCAACTGCAACTCCACGTTTTTGTGTGTCATCATCTTAACAAACATCTCGTAGTCGTTCGCTGCCCAAATTTGTTCAAACAGTCTCCGGTGGAAGTGGGCAGGTAGCCCAGCAAGATCGCGAGCTGATAGTTTACATGCTGCCTCGAATTGGTCAGCTGTAATACCGATATCGTCCATGAAAGAACCTAGCATCACGTCGACCTGAAATAAACGTACTACTGCATAAATGGCGTTGATATATCCTTATGAAATTAGCGTCCTAAAGAATGTTGCCTGTGTTAGGAACAAACAGCGGTACGGTATATTTAGCGTACGCCGTGGGTAACATGCGCGAATGTTGGTACTAGTTTATAATACATACATTTGACCGACATACGACCCACCGACCGACAAAGGGCTGATATAATCATACGTATACTTGTATGAAACCCATCCGTGTGAGGTGGGGTGGGGCGGAGCGGCCAAGTATAACAGCTTTATTACTTAAGTTTTTTTATTACCAAATTACGGTATTCCTCATGGATCCTCTTGTATTCTGGATTATCCATGACTTCGCCATTGTCCGTTGGTTCAAAAACTGAAACAAATGTTACCTTAAAAAAAATGTAATAGTTCACATATATATAATCAATAATATCGGCGTCCAATTATTATATACTCAACATACAACAACCTAAATAAACAACAACAACCTAATATTTAAAAGGTAGTGGTTAAATTAGATAATTTAACCAGGCAGATGCCTATATTATGAAATTTGAACTTACGTAGAGATTTTTCCTCGATAAAAGTTTGTAACGGAACATTCCATACGGGGCCATGAAGAAACCCCACCAGGGAGTCAAACACCCAAGCATTGCTATCTAATGGTTCCATGAGAATACTGCAATGCTGTGAAGTAGTGCGCCTTATTTGGATATCACGGCAAGTTATCGACTGATAGTTACTTAGCGCCTGGTAAAACTATAAACATATACTGACCGTGACGTTTATTTGTATCACCTATGTTGCTATGGTTACTCACTGATTGAGCTGTTTTCGGTTTCTTTGATTTTATTCTTCTATTAATGGCTTATTTGCGCATTTCGCACAATTCTGCCAATGTCAAGTGAATAAATAAAATTCTACATGTAAAATGAAAATTAAATGAATGAAAGATAGTGATTGACACTGAAAATCGGTTTCTTTGATTTAAAAGCTTCTTCTTCTTCTTTTTTAATTAATGGCTTATTTGCGCATTTCGCACAATTCTGCCAATGTCAAGTGAATAAATAAATTTCTACATGTAAATGAAAATGAAATGAATGAAAGATTCAAAAGCAATTGCAAAGATTTGCTTCTAATCTAACGGAAGATCCGTCAAGCGCCTTAGAAGAGTATATTACGCGACGGCTCATCAGCAAGGTTGAATGTAATAATCATAGTTATTAGACGTATGGTCTTATCATAATAATATTTATCAGATTCTGATAAAATATATGATATGATAAAACGTAAGTGAATACATTTGATAATTTCCTATTTAGAGCTTACTACACGACGCACATTCATCGAGCGTGCAAGATAGTTGTCATCTTTTCTGTTTGACGACACATGGTTGACACGACACGACGTCTTTGGACACGACGCGTGGCTTCCAATAAAAAGTAGCCTCACTTTCGTCGCGTGTTCTATTAGCCAGTCTGACAAATGTGACCACAAATTGGTCTTTGTAGATATTTCTGGCGATATTAGACATGTACCGATCCAGGATTGCGCTAAATTGATTCGTGTCGGCACGCCTGTTTAGGTCAAGTCAACGTTGAGTTTTCTAATAAAGCATTTAAAATAAGTAGGTCGCTATGGTAGGTAGTTTATTTTGCTATTTTACTTACCCTAAATCTATGATTTTGTCAATTAAATTATCTATGTATGAAATGCGTTCCGACTTTATTTTGATCTAATTAAATTAAATTTGCGAACTAAATCGAAAGGCAAATAGCAGTTTCATATGATTCCTGTTCGTAGATCTAACCGAGAAGCTTAGAGATAAAAGTTTGAACATACACTTATTAAACACTAGCTGACCCGGTGAACTTCGTATCACTTACCTCTTAATAAAAACCATATTAATATTGAAAAATATTGTGTAAACTGACCACTACACGACCATAAATATTGATCGTCAACTGAAATTTTGACAGTTAAAAACAGTTTGTATGGGAAAATTAAATTATCGTTTTTAGTATTACACTGTCAATGTTGTTATATTTTCTCATCGTTTAAACCTCCACGAATATTTCAAGACTAAAATTTGTCAAATCGGTTTAGCCGTTCTTGAGTTTTAGCGAGACTAACGAACGGAAATTCATTTTTATTTTAAATTATTAAGAGTAGAATATATTAGTATCAAATCCCAAGATTTGGCTGTACGGCTTAGTTCCTTGGCCTGTCCCATGGATGAAACTACTACTACTAATAGACCATAAAGTAACTGATATTGTAATAGACTTTTGTTCTCTTTGACATTATGGCTGTATGGGCTAAGCTCTCTTCGCCTTTCCTTTAGAGTAAAAATCTACCAAAAAAAAATCTCTTTGACATTTTGACTGACATACAATAATAAACTTTTCGGGTGAATTTTTTAGAAATTAATTATCAATAAAATTCTTACAAAATGAGCGTTACAGGAAAGGTAGTCGAATACGATAATGTTAACGGAGTTGCCCTTTGTTTAAAGGTTGATATTCGGGAGGGTTCTCCTCGATCTAGACTTTTTACAATTTCTTATAAAAGTGAAGAAAATAAGTCACCGTGGCCAAAAATGTCTTTATTTTTCGCAATATTATTTAATATTATGGCCTTATGTTTCGTGAGAATTAGTTTTACTGTAACTGTTATAATAATTGTTGTCTTATCTTTTGTTGTTTTCTTCTGGATAACACATAGTGTTCAATCCGGTAAGTTCTATGAAATTGAGATTTATTAGCCGGCATGTATTATATTGATTAAGTACTTTTGATTTATTAAAGCAATCACATATGCCAGCTTATAGATTATTTATCTTCATTGTCGACTGTGGCTACGGGTTTGGGTACCACATCAGTCCAGTGCAGATTGGTTGATGCTAAATAAAACAAAATGAAATATATAGTATTGGTGAATTAAAAGTAGAATTGGGTAGTTATGAGCTATGCAATCTCTTTGTTTTACATACATTCCATTTTTTTTGATTATCATTTTCCAATTTTTTTTACAGAAAGTGTATTGGTTATTCCAACAGTTGGAATACAGAGTTCTGTAAAATATGTCTATGGAAGAGAAGATAACTTCATCTCATGGTCAAATGTAGATGATGTTATTATAAATGAAGTGATCAAACTGGTTTGTATTTACTTAGCTTTTAAAATGCAATTACCATTATTTAATTATTGATTTTAATTTTATTTATTTATAGTTATAAATGGCTTGAAAATAGGGAATGTAATCCAAATCAATTTATTCTTAATGAAAAATGCTTATTACACTTTGTCCCTGGCACTCTCAATGAGACTCGAACCCATGACCTTTCATGGGAAATTTAATTGCAATCCAGGCGACTGCTCAAATTAAGTTTTTTTTTTTATTTGAGTAAAAACTAAATTAAATAAAATAAACTGAACTGTGCATTTCCACAACGACACGCAAGCGTATCTCGCTACGCCACACTTTCTGAAAATTCTGATTCTATACTCAGCTTTAAAGAAATGTTCAATTGTCAACTTTCTCTTTTTTGAAATTTCTGGGAGTGTCTATAATTGCTTTAGGTGGAACCTTTTTTTACTCATGTATATTATTTTTATTTTTTCATTTATTTTACTCACACAAAACTTTTGGCAGTGATTCGAGCATTTATAATATGTGATACTCGCAATTCTAAAGAAAATAACTATTAAACTCTTAAATGATGATGATGAAGGAGCATCTTTCCAATTGCAACCACTTTGACTCTAAGTCCGGTTAGTGATGATGCTCTCTAAGATGGCTATCATAGCTGATCTATTTAAGAACACCCACAAGCAAATAGACCATGTGAGTACTATGTCTGTGTAGTTGTAGTAACTTTCAGCTCATTCACGCCTAGCTTGAGCCTTATTTGACTATGCACAGTCCTGTACTATTTCAGACACTGCATTGCCAAATTCTTCGATTGAGATGGTTCTATATTACAACTTTTCATATAGAATTTCTGAACATCTTTGTACCGGAGTCATCCCCTGTTTTCGCTTACCTTTTATGATTTCAGAAGAGATGATTTGCTTCACCACTCTCTTCTGCGTTATAAATATCCACCAATGACGTATTAAGTATGTTCATATGCCACCGACATTGGGTCTTAAAACTCCAGTATAACACATCTGATCTGACCATCCACACAGGCACTTTAGGTGGATTCCATCCAGGCTGTGTATGTGGTGATGGTATAAACACCATGCATCGGCGGAATATATATTTTGGTGGTCAACTTTGGGTCGTTTAAGCGGAAGACCTTGCAGCAATGATCCTGTTCTTGATCTCATTCTTGAGATTAGACTAAGATGTAATTGTAAAATAGGCATAATAATAAAGTGAAACATTTAGTCTACATTTTCTTACCAAATGAAGCAAATGAAATATGATCCTTTCCAAACCATTTGTTCGCGCTATTTCCAATATGAATACAAGTATGTAGAGATTTTCTAATTTGGGTCTCGGGCCTCAACTAGCTTAATGGTTAAAGCAGTCGCCCGGATTGCGAAAGATGTTCGAGTTCTACCTCGAAGCATTTGGGCCTAATAGCTTTTTTAAACATTTTTCCCCAAAAAATTTATTTATTTTAGTCGATTATTATTTCCTGTCGTGGATGACAACCAACTGATGCATGTTTAAAAAGTATAATAAATTTCAATTCGGTTTCACCAATATACCTTAAATCACAAAAAACTCAAAAATTTCGGATTATCAGGATTTTAATCAGACAAGAAATTCTAAAACCGGATTTTTATAAATAAACTGGTTTTATAATCCTTACTTGAAAACAGTTTAGGAAATAAGATAAACAGATACTCGGTATTCACTAGGATATATATGGTTGTAAGTTAGTACCTTGCAAACTATATGTATTGTTGCATAATTAGAACAATCTAATAAGAATATGTAGACTGTGCCCAGGGACTCATGGGTTTATATATCTAAGTGGTAGATTGTATATAGAATAAATTAAAAATTTCAAATTGATATTAAATAATACTCCAAATCAATCCAGCACTTCTAAAGACACGTGTTTTAAGATTATGGAAATTATTATAAGATGTATTTTATTATATTATAATACAATTCTCTAATGTTAAATCTTTTTTCTTTTAGAATCGAGTATTGTTTTATCTTACCGTGTTAGTAAAAAATCCTCATCAAGAATCTGAACCAATTAAGCTAGTACCACTATTCAAGGTATGTTTTATGAGATGAACAATATATGAAATGAATACAATTGTAAAATGAATAAGTTCGAAATGCTAAAATTTTTATGAATTATTCAATGGTCAATTTGTATTGCTATTCCACACACAGTGACACGTTAAATATAATTAAGCATACTGCTGTAATAGTATAAGTTTATACATCATTTACAATCATTAATACGTTTATACATATTACAGCAGTATAAGTTATAAAGGTTGTATAAGTTGTAAACACAGTTTGACAATTTAGCTTGTATAACTGTTTGTGATAAATATTCATCCCTTTTTTAATATTTACTTCAACAATTTTTTCAGTATACAAAGCCACGGTTGATGATGCTGGAAACTATATATTCTGAATTGCAGTCTTTACTGACAGAACAACATATAAATGGGCCCTATAATGAAGCAGGTGATATGGGATAGTAATAAAGAAGACAGACTACAATTGGCAATATTATATTTGGTTTGAATTTTGTGTGTACGTTTCTACAATAAAGTCAGAAGCGGTATACCTACAAAAATCAGTTTAAATTTACTACGCATATATAAAAATATACTTGTTTAGAATGCTTGATATAAGGGGTCTTATTATATTGTTGGTAAGAATGCTTGGACTTGAGGTGTTCCAGGTACTTTGATAGGTCATATCCTTTAAGTGAGTGGTTATATTTAAATATATGTATATATAGTCATAGGTAAGGCCAGACCGAAATTGATATTTTAGTCTCGGCCGAGACCGAGATCTAGAAAAAAATATTATAAACCGAGAACGAGACCAAGATCTCGGCGGCACTTTTAGCCGAGACTAGATGAGATCGAGATTTCGGTCGGACCTTGTAGTCTAAAAAATTTGTTTAAAATTCATAAATTCATATTGTTAATATTGATTGGTGGTGACATGGTTTATGAAGATGTTGTTACTTATGTTAGAACTGGTGAGTTTATTTCACCTGTTCTACTTATAATAAGTTTATTTAAATAAGTATTATTTTGACTATGACTGATTTTAAATGGGTTTTATTAATAGCATGATAAGAATAAAGCTAGTATAAATGTCTGTTAAAACTGTTTTAAAACGATATTTGTTTTTTTATTATTGGGCATAACAATATATGTAGAAATATAAAGATATTTTATATGATGTTCGGTGTTTTTTTTATTATATAAATAAATATTTATTAATACGTTACAGATAGCGCAGTAGCGCTGATTAGGATACAAAAATAAAAAATTTGTAACACGGCGGCAGCTAAACCACTCTACCAGCCGTGCAGTCAAAATCTAACTTGTGTGATGCAAAATAATGATGACAGTTCTTGCAGAAAAAATCTTTAAAATTAATGTATATAATGTATTACTAATTATATAAAATACCTATGAAAAAACCTAATTAAGAGGGGTAGCAAAATTGTCTTCGCCCCGGGCGGCAGACACCCACGCAACGCCACTGAAATCACTTATGTATAGCTCTTAGGAAGCCTGCTGCTCAGTTCTGGGCTATCGAAGGATCTCCTGCTCGATGCATCGGGAGACTACGCCTGGTCGAGTCTACGCTCCAAAACCCACCGCCCCTCAAGACTGCTGGAGGACATATCTGTCCCCTTGAGCTGACGTCGGCCACTTCTGTGAAGCACTTCAACGACGTCAACGGAACTTCGGCGCTAACCCCCGCTCACATCACCGGACCACTGTTGAAGTTAAAACCTCTTTCAAGAATTTACTCCATTATGACACGCCAAAAAAAAAAGAAAAAATAATAATAAGAAATAAAAATTAAGTTGATTAACATTCACGTTGTTTTTAATCTTTAAATATCTCCAGCATAACGTTATAAAAATACATTTGGCCGTATCGAAGCCGGATAGAAAATACTATATGGAAGATAATCATATTATTTATGAATCCTTTGGAAGTATTTATTCAGCGCTAATTAAAAATTAATACGTTCGAAGTTCTGGAGGTTAAGGAAGGACGCGGATGTTATCTGAAGATTAAAATATTAAATATAAGCAGTGTTAAGTGTCTAAATAAATAAAATTAAATAGCCCAACACTCGATCAGGTAGTATAAGTGTAATTAAAGATTCAAAATTAATTTAGGTTAGTAAAATTTTATAACATTATCTTATACATTTGTGACAATTGTTCAATTTTAATTAATAACTACGTTATTTGTTTATTAGGTACATATTAAGAAGTTCAAACGTACTTAAAATACAGTACAGTTAGCAAAATAAGCTACATTTATGGACTTAATTATTTATACCTAAGTAGTTAAAAATTTGCAAATAATTGTCACAGTTATCCTATTGAGTAATGTTGAGGTTTTAAATTGTTTAAGTACATTTGGGCACATTATTTCTGTTGTGTAGTGATTATTGCTAATAAGAATAAAAAGGAAATTAAAATATAAAATTCTATACAGTTAAAAACTATTTTCGGTTTGTATAGTATTATAAGAATAGGCATTTTTAGTGGTTAAATGTAAACAGTTAAAATATAATTGTTTTTATTTTAGTGTTTATAACTTTTATTGGGCAATAATTATCTTATTATTTATCTTGAATTGTATAAATTCCAGGTTGACGTCACCTTTTCTCCCAAGTTATTAAAATGAGTGAAGAAAAAGAACTAATTAAGCGGCGAGCGAGTTTCAAAGGTCGTTTAACGGTATTTATAAATTATTTGCAAACACTTGCTAAACCTATAACTGCGTCAATCGCTCGAGAATTGCAAATGCGTATAAGTAAAATCGAATCCTTGTATGAACAATATGATGAAGTGCAACTTCAATTGGAATGTTTAGGTGATAATATGCAATCACAGTTATCTGAACGTGCTGATTTTGAATCACTTTATTACAAGGCATTGTCCGATGCTCAAGGGTTACTAAATGAATTTAATAAGTCCTCAAATGATTTCCTTGATAATGTTAGTAATTCTTACGCTAGTAACCGTAAGCTTGTTAAGTTGCCTACAATACAGTTGCCTAAGTTTAGTGGTTCGTACGATGATTGGCTTGAGTTTCATGATACCTGTACTAGCCTTATTCACTCGAACGATGATATAGATGAAATAAATAAGTTTCACTATTTGAGGGCTTCTCTGGAGGGATCTGCTGCTGTGGTAATACAATCCATAGAATTTTCGGCTTTAAATTATACTATTGCGTGGAAGCTTTTGTGCGAGCGGTACGACAATAAACGGTTACTTATACAAAACCATGTGTCAGCCTTATTTAATATTGATGTGATTACTAAAGAAACTTCTGTTATTCTCAAACGATTAATTGACCAACTGAACAAGAACCTTCGTGCTCTTGAATCTTTAGGTGAACCAGTAAAACAGTGGGACACACTTTTAATTTACATTGTCACACAAAAATTGGACCAAAAAACCTATCGTGAGTGGGAAGAGTTTAAAGGTCACTTGAATAAAGATAGTTCGATCACATTTGATACTTTTCTAGGGTTCTTACGTAATCGTGCAGATTTGATTGAAACTTTAGAGTTATCACGTAACAAATATTCCAATTCTCAAAATAAATCGCACACCAAGTTGAAAACTCTCGTTGCACAAAACACATTTAATTCAAGTACTGAAAGTTCTGTAAAATCTTGTCGTAAATGTAATGGTGATCATCATTTAAATAATTGCCCACAATTTTTAGCCTTAACTAATGAAGCCCGTCTTAAAGAACTCCCAAGCTTAAAAGTTCTGTTTAAATTGTTTTCGAACAGGTCACTTTGCAAACACTTGTAAGAAGCAAGGCTGTAAAATATGTAAACGACGCCACAATACTTTGGTACATGTAGCTAAAGCGAAACCTGTTACTGCTGCTTCCAATGTCATTTCTAGTGATTTTGAAGGCGCTGCTTCAACATCGGCAGTATTGTTGGTTCCTGCTTCGACCATCGAAAATAATAATATTGCTTTATCAACAAATGTTGCGCCTACTTGTAAGGCACAGGCTACTGATGTGTTGTCTACCGCTTTAGTAAAATTATATGATTATAATAATCACGAGCACATCGTTCGTGCCGTATTAGACAGTGGTAGTACGTCAAGCCTAATTACTTCGAATATATGTCGTAAATTAAATCTAACCACTAATGAAATAGACCGATCTCTACTAGGAATTAATAACGTCACCGCGCAAGTAGGTAAAACATATCGGGTTACATTAAAATCTTTGAACGACAGATATTGTACTGATGTTAGTTTGTATGTTTTGCCATCTATTACTGGTAAAATACCGGGTCGCGAAATAGATCTGACTGTTCTGAAAATTCCGTCCGATATTTGTTTGGCTGACCCCACTTTTTATAAACCCTCAGAAGTAGATCTTTTAATAGGAGCTGATCTCTTTTGGGACATATTAGGGTCACAAAAAATAAAATTAGGTAAACAACAACCTGTGTTGTGCGAGACTAAATTAGGTTGGATTATTTCAGGTCCATTACCATTTAATAATTATTTTCAACTGTCCAGTGATATAAGATGTCATTTCACTTCAATAAATTCCGATGCTACCGATGAAAAAGATGACATTCGGACCGATTTAACGCGTTTTTGGCAGTTGGAAGAAATAGATTCCAAATCACCTAGTTATTCACCAGAAGAAAAGCTCTGTGAGGAACATTTTATTACAAATACATTCCGTCTTAATGATGGCCGTTTCTGTGTTAGAATACCCCTAAAGCATAATCCTAATATATTGGGTAATTCATTCCAAAGGGCTAAACAATGTCTATTTTTATTGGAACGCAGATTAGTTAGTAAATCGGACATTGGTAAAATGTATAAAGAATTTATGACGGAATACAAATTATTAGGCCACATGATCGAAATTCATACACCAGAATCAGACCAATCTTCGTATTTTATGCCTCATCACGGTGTCATACGTGAAAGTAGCACGACTACGAAGCTCCGAGTGGTATTTAACGCTAGTTGTCCTACAACATCGGGTGTATCATGCAATGAGATTCAGATGGTAGGTGCTACTGTCCAAGATGACCTTTTGTCTATACTTCTTCGTTTTAGGCAACACAAATATGTTTTATCTGCCGACGTGGAGAAGATGTATAGACAGATAGTCGTGCATCCATCTGACAGGCACCTACAGCAGATACTCTGGCGCAACGATGTCTCTGAACTAATCAAAGAATACCAACTGAACACCGTCACCTATGGAACGGCGAGTGCACCATTTCTTGCGACTAGATGCCTTAAGCAGATAGGTTTAGAATGTGCAAATCAATCTGTTGCTGATTTGCTAACTGGAGGTGATGATCTGAACATTATGTAAGGTATACGAAAGGATGTTACTGATGCACTGGCATCAGGTGGCATGCATTTGAGAAAATGGGTATCTAACGAACCTCAATTAGTATCTGATTCTGATGGTGTTTTGTCTGTTAATTTAAATATAGAGTCTGATGAACCAAATAAATTGTTGGGTCTTGGTTGGCATTCAAGTACAGATAAGTTGTGCTTTCCAATAAGTTTTTCAATTTCCAACAGCAATACTAAGCGAGATTTGCTTTCGGCTATTGCGAGGATATTTGACCCCCTAGGTTTATTGGCACCATGTGTG